GCTCCTCTCCTGAGGTAAAAAAAATCCCCTCCTGCCTTCCCCGACACCAGGACTCTTGCGAGGGAGGGGGGACACCGCGGGGGCATCCCAGAGAGAGCCGGGGCCTGGCGAGCCGAGCCTGCCTGCGCCGCCCGCCCCTGCCCCGCTGGATGCCGGGTCCCTGAGGAGGAAAACGGCATATCCGCGTATCCCCGGCCCCTCAGCCGTGGGCCCGCTCGTCTGCAGGGACCCCGCGTATCTCGGTGGAAGGAGGCGAGCCCCGCACCAGAAACCACCCTCCCGGCAGCTGTGAGAGCAAGAAAATCTCCTTCCCCTTCCTCCTGCACAACTCGCTGTTCCTCCTTCCCTTCCCTTTTCCCGAGCGCTGAATGCTGATTTCTGAGATGAAAATCTTCCTCTTCGGACAGCCAGGACTCGTATGAAGGACACACAAATATTGGATCATAAATAAGAAGCGAGTCTGGCGAGCTCAGAAACCCAGCCCAAAAGAAGCAGCATCAAGAATCCACCCTTCTCCTGCACAACTCACTCCCCACCCAACACACAGAGAATACTAATTTCCTGAGATAAGATCTTACCCCTTTAAACAACCGCACACGCGCATACACACACACGCACAGAGTGTATATTATTACTAAGTATAATAGGTTAAACCCGGCAGAACGGGAAAAAGCCTTTTCTGCAACTCACTCCCCCTTTTCACCCTTCTGAATGCTGACATCCTGAGGTAAATTTTTCCCCTTACCCACAGCAAAGACTCTTTTTGAACAGGACACAAATATATATTAGATTATAGAGATGTATTAAATTATTCCAGATTTAAATCTATTTTTTGCTGCCAAGGGGTCAGGGAACCAGACGTCATTGTATATTTTTTTTTCCTTCCCTCTTAACTCATTTATGGGCGAGTCAAGGCTGCTGAGGAGGAATAAAACAAGATAGTTAGAATCTCTTTATCCTTATTCCCCAGAAGCTTTTTCTCTCATTGCTGTGCATTTCCTTTAGAAAAAGGAAACCTCTTGTTTTGTGAACCAAAGATTTATTTTTCCCTTCCTCCTGGCCAAAGGAAGGAAACAGACAGAAATTGACCCATTTAAATAGTTGAAAAGATCTATCTTTTGAAGAAAAAAAAAAATCTTTATCCAAGTTGGAAATAAATAGCGTGGAGGGAGAAACTGGAATATCTAGCTAAAACCAGGATACTTGCTAATCTTGCCTCTGAAGAGGACGAGGTAAACACTAAACATCAACTTGTTCTTACAGGGAGGATTCCAACCCTAAATAAAATAAATGGGGGATTACGGGTTTGGAGTGTTAGTGCAAAACAACACTGGAAATAAGTCAGCTTTTCCAGTCAGATTTCATCCACATCTGCAGCCTCCACACCATCATCAAAATGCAACCCCCAGCCCTGCTGCTTTTATAAATAATAACACAGCTGCCAATGGCAGTAGTGCTGGGTCAGCTTGGCTCTTTCCTGCTCCAGCTGCCCATAATATTCAGGATGAGATTCTGGGGTCAGAAAAATCTAAAACTCAGCAACAGGAAAAGCAAGAGTCCCTAGAAAAACAGCAGCTTTCCCCTGGTCAAAGCCAGGAAGCAGGCATGCTCTCTGAACCTGAGAAAGCTAAACCTGAAGAAAATCAGGGCGATAATTCTTCAGAGAATGGCAATGGGAAGGAGAAAATAAGAATAGAATCGCCGGTATTAACAGGATTTGATTATCAAGAGGCTTCAGGGCTAGGTACTTCGACGCAGCCCTTGACATCCACTGCATCTTCTCTGACTGGTTTTAGTAACTGGTCTGCAGCTATAGCTCCATCTTCTTCTACAATAATCAATGAAGATGCAAGTTTTTTTCACCAGGGAGGGGTCCCTACTGCCTCGGCTAATAACGGTGCTCTGCTGTTTCAGAATTTTCCACATCATGTCAGCCCTGGCTTTGGTGGTAGCTTTTCCCCCCAAATTGGACCCCTCTCTCAACACCACCCTCATCACCCCCATTTCCAGCATCATCACAATCAGCATCAGCAACAGAGGAGGTCTCCGGCAAGTCCTCATCCACCTCCATTCACACATAGAAATGCTGCTTTTAATCAGTTGCCTCATTTGGCTAATAATCTTAACAAGCCACCTTCTCCATGGAGCAGCTACCAAAGTCCATCGCCTACACCATCTTCATGGAGCCCTGGTGGCGGTGGATATGGTGGGTGGGGTGGGTCCCAAGGTCGAGACCACCGCCGGGGACTGAACGGAGGGATAACACCCTTGAACTCCATCTCCCCCTTAAAGAAGAATTTTGCAAGTAATCATATCCAGTTGCAGAAATACGCCCGACCCAGCTCTGCCTTTGCTCCAAAATCGTGGATGGAAGACAGTTTGAATAGAGCTGACAACATTTTTCCTTTTCAGGTGAGCATACTCTGTTATATCCTTAAGAAAAATAACATGTGAGCATATTAAAATGCCATGGGAAAGGTTGGGTGTTTGAACAGTAACATCTGACTGTATGACTTCTGTGCTTGCAACTAAACCAAATATATGGCTAACTTGAAATGTCAGTGTGAATTATGCTGCGAGCTGTGAATCATGTGGTTTGGGTTTTTTTTAGTAGTGGTGGTCCTATAAATATCTGTTGCCCACCAGACATCTATATTCGCCAGTTTCTTTCAGCTTGATACTTAGACACTTTCAGAAAGAGCTAATGAACAAATGTAATTAACACATAGCAACTATATCTACAAAAAGGAGTAAGGAGAAAAAAGCGCTGCCTGGTGAAGTATGAAAGATCTGAAGCCTTCTGAAGTATTTGAGAATGTACCACATCGGAGAACAAGTCATTTCATTTTGTTTTACAGTAGCATATGGACTTGCAGTGACACCTAATTTTTGTAGCATTGTTTAGAAACTTGAGGGGGTTTTTACATTATGGTAATCAACTCAGTTTGCTTTCCTCAGTCATGGCAGCATATTTTGGTTACAGGCTGTTAAATCATCACCAAAAATAGATCTGGACTAGTGTCAGTTGGTGGTCTCCTGTATTTTAATTTGGCCCTATCCTGGCAGGAGCAGGTTGTCTGGCAGTTCACCTTGTCTTCTAGGCTGACTCTTTATGAATTTGCAAGTTGGACAAGAACTGTATAATGCTGAACCTTTTGAAGTAAAAATTAAAATAGAAGTACTCTTCACCTGACCATGAGCTAAATGTAGCTTTTATGTGTATGTGCCTTTTGTAAACTCCTTTAAGGTGAATTCAAACACTCAAGAGTTCTTTTACATTTAGAGGGTTGTTTTTCAAGATCTTCAGAAGAGGGCAAAAGCAAAAATTTCCAAATGATCATGCTATTTCTGGCCATGCTGTAAGAACCAGGGTGACCTACTTTAAAATAATTTAAAAGATCTGCAGATAAAAACTGTGCAATGCGTCTCATGTTATAAACCACCCTAAAGAAACAGGAATACATTTTATAGTGACTTTGTGGATTCAGACACAGGAACAGTTCAGTTCTCCTTTGCAGACTGTTCAGTTTCTGTTTGGTTTGCAGGGCCTGCGTATGCAGCCTTCTGACAGCAGAGCAGCTGCTGGCAAGAACTTTCCATTAGAGACCTTTTTTCTACTGCAGAGCTACTAGCTGGTCCAATATGAGATAGAGCCCTTGTAAATTTAGAATGCATAGCAATAATTGATTTTAATGTCAGGATTTGTAATTAATATAATGAACCTGTGTCCAGCATACCCAATTTATACACTGAAACCATTAGGAAAAGGGACACAGCTGGAGCCGGTCTTTTTTCAGCCTCACTGCAGCGAGACTTGGCTCACAGTTTAATTCATTCTGTACCCTGACACATAGCTGATGTGCAGAGTGACAGAATGAGATCAAGTGTGTCCTTGCTGCTGTGTATAAGGCCCAAATGTATACTCAGCAATAGAAATGTGCTTGGTTTGACATTAAGGAAATTTCAGGAAACTGTCACAACCTTGACTTCTGGGTTGTGTTCTAAAAATACGAGACACGTGGATTTTGATCACTGTAAAGAAATAATTTTTGTGTAGCATGTTGGTATCTGTTTACGTAAACACTAAGATGAAGCTGTACATGTCAAGACCAAGTCTGACACTCCTCCATGCCAAGAAAGGGGAAGCGTTGGGAGTTAAGCCCTTTCCAGTCTGTTACTACTGCTTCTGTGAAGAAAAGGGCAGGGCAGCAAAACAGGACTTCAGCACTGCAGACCTAGAGAGATGCTGATTAATTTTGAAGCCATCTTGGACAACTGCTGTTTAGAACTTTTTTTTTTTTTTTTTTGTATAAAATATTCAGCTCCTTTGGTCATTTAGTCATTTGTGTGTTGAGAGCATACTGGTTTTTTTAATCACTGGAAACAAATGATGTAAAACTTGACCTTTGTCTTGATTTTTTTCTTGGTTATGGTGATTGTATGCCTGACTTAAAGCAGAAGTTTTGCTTATTGTATATTTGTGCTCATGCATATATATAAAAGTATCCTTGGTGATGCAATCATGTACTGGACAAGGCTATTTTGTTACTAGAATCTTCTTAGATTCCTATTTAGGAAACAATTGAAAGCTGTCTTTGCAGCAGCAACATAATGGAGTAATTTGAGACAACTATCCCTTTCATTTAATATTTATGTTTTGCTGCTTAAATCATTAACAAGTGTTGCCGCAATCTAGTGAAAATTAGTTTCTTTAGAAGGCAAGCTGCAAACCAGAAAGTGCAAGTATATTGGGATCACTTTCTTTTTTCCTTAGAGCTTGTCTCTATTCTAAAGCCTGGTGAAACACAGAAGTCTGTTTATATGGAAGTTTTAGGGTAACCAAGTGTAAGTGCTCGTTTCCTTTTTGGACAGGACAACATTGCATAATGTCCTCAGGAGCCACTAATGTGAACTACTGCTCAGTTAAATATTTCTGCCCATGGCCCTTAGATGCCTCTGATGAGATGGGCATTCCAGATGGTGCAGGTGAAAGGAATGTACTGTGGTGATCTATTTGATAATCTTGCAATTTGATGATTGTGTGCTGGATATTCAGAGCTGCATGCAAAACATTGTGCTTTTTGTTGTAAGTGATTTTTGTTTGGAATTCTGTCCCATAGCATTTCAGAAGTAACGTGTCTGTAGGAACCTCTTGTTGCAGGGATGGAACTGAAGCAAGGTTAGAGAAGACTGTTACCAGATCTGTTAATGAAATTAAGTTTTGATATTGTGCTTTAGCCACTGGGCAGGCTTCCCTCTTCAAAGATCTTTTGAAAAGAGAAAAGCCATTGTTCTTTGTGCATTCATTTGAAAAGGAAATGATCTCCAAATGAAAAAATGGTTCCTGAATTAAAAAAGAAAAGAAAAAAAAAAGCCTTTTGGATATAACAGCCTTCCCTGAGAATTAATAAATGGAAATGCTTTGACTGTGACTATTGCCTCTTACAAAGTTACTGATTTCTCAAATAATTCCTTCTACTTCTCTCCCAGCAGCACTGACAAACTGAGTGCTCAGTAATTGCGTTTTACTGCAGCATTGCCCTCTAGATTGTTTTGGCTTTCCTTTTGCTATGTACTTGCACTTCCTCATGAGAATGGAACATCCTGCCTGTTATGCAATGCATAAATCTTGCTTTGATAGGCATTTTCAGGTTTCCAGATCTCATCTTCAAATGTGTGATGATGTTTTTTAAATTGGCCTTTGAAGGCACAAGCAAGTTAAGCAGCAGTGTTCAGCTTTCTGTAAAAATGCTTAAAAATAATTTGTGTTTCTTCCTGGAATCAGGCTTGAAAATAACTGCCCATTTCAAAGAATTTTGTACATGAGAGCAGTTCATTATATCCACTTGTTCAAAATGTTTTTTCCTTTCTTCTACAGTGGCTAGTTTCCAGGTATATAACCCCTTCCAAATCCATTGAAGGTCTGTGCCAGAGAGGCTTTCTCTTTCCCCAGTCAGATATGGAATGCTTGAGAAAACACATACGTGATTACAGAATGTGTTTTAATTCTGAGCTATACGTCATGATTTGTTTGCCCATAGAAATGAGTTGATTTAATAAGTGCCTTAAACAAATTCACGGGGAACTGGAATTAAAAAATAAACTCTTGAATGCATTTGCCAGTCTCTCCTCTTGAAGGAATTTTGCAAATAAATTTCTTTACCATGCCTCTTTATTTTAATATTTGTTCTTTGTTTTTGAGGAACCTTTTCATAAATCATGATGGCTGGTTGCATAAAATGAGGCTACTTGTTTTGCAAGTTTTGCAGAATTTTATTTTTATTCTAACTACAGCAATTATTCCAAAAAATGTCAAGCTATGATTTTAAAACAATAAACCCTTGAAGTTGGATTTTTAAATGTCTGTTCACCCATTTTTCTACAGCTACATCAGCTGTGTAGCAATTAGTGTTTTGTATGCTGTTCCCCACAGCTACTGATCTGTGGAATTAGAAGCACTCTAATGTGGTATGACATGCACGAGTTAAGTACTGTGGAAGTTAACACTGTTCTTGTTTTATAAACTCACTACTGACGTTAGTACTTTGGCTTTGGCCCTCCTGTGCGTTTTTGACCTCAGGGTTTCTTTTTAAAGAGAGCTTTTGTTAGAAGCTATTTGAATTATGTTTGTATTTTCCTAAGATTAAAAGGAGTACTCTTATTAAGCATTTTGCTTTGAAAATTGCATACTTAGCAGCCCAGCGTAAAGATTGAGAACGCAAGATATTGTAGAAAATAATTTCTAGGGAAAAAACCAACACCTTAACGTGTGGCTAAAATAGTCATGTTATTGGAAATTTGTATAAAGGTTTGTAATTTCTAACACTTAAACTTGAACTTTTTTTTTTTTTTTTACTAAACCAGAAGTGCTCCCTTCCCCAAAAAAACTCCTGTGTTATGCGTCACTTAACTTTTCCAGCTTTTTCTTACTGTTCCCCGGTGAAGCTGTAGACGGTGATCAGGGCAACGTACAGTAACATCCTTTCAGGAAAAACCTGTTTATTCAAAGCCTTTAATTCACTGGATACTGGGCTGGGAGCTGGAGTACAGAATTTGCCGAGTGGTGGGAAGGAGGAGCAGCTTACCCAGAAGCATTATCAAGTCCAAATTTGCTTTGCAGTTAAAAGAAAAAATGTTGAACTCGTATTTAGTACCTACAGTATTGTGTCTGCCTACACATTTTTCAAAAGCCTTGTGTCTCAGGCACAGTATTGTGGGGAATATGTACAAGGTTTCAGAAATTTCAGGCTTCCCATGCTATAATGAGGTGTGATTATTCTAATTTTCACAAGTATTTTGGTTTGCCAAAGATTTAAATACATAAATTAAGCCCCAGTTGTAAAACTGCACCTACTCCATAAATGCTGTTTAATCATCGTCAGTAAATTGCTTAACACAATGGCATACTTTGC